TTATTTCTTTTCATCTTAATTCTCAAAGGTTATAAAATTCTAGATTTAGAAGAAACACCACAAAGAGATTTGTTGTTCCAAGAACCAAAAGTTCAATCTTCTAATCTAATGAATTTCTATTATTACCTTGCTGTTATGAATCTCTTAGCTATGTCTGAGTAGATTCCTTTGTTAGATTTAGGGTTCAAATAGTTATGAGGGATTATCCCAACCATGGAATGTTGAATTGTTGATATTCATTATCCAAATGAACCCTAATGCTTACTCTAGAGTAGCTACCTAGAGTATGATCATGGATGTGATTTAACTTGTTAATCATTGTCCTGAAATCATTTGGCATAAGCTTAGATCCTCTAGGGATGTGCGAGAGCCGGTCTATGATCTTGGTGAACACAGTTTCGATTCGATCTTATGCTATATCGATCGATACTCTTATAGAGTTATCGATCGACGGCAACCCATATCGTCCGATATCGCTGTCAAAACATCGGTCGATATTGTCGGCAATAAGATCAATGGATGAGTCTATTTAGCGATTTCTATTAGATCTGTCTAAGAATCGAAGTTCTTATATATCTTGCAAGCAATTCACTAAAACATTTGTAGCATTATAATCCTGATTATCTGAATAGAAACCTTGAATCTAACTATTTTCTTTTATTGTTTTAAACCAAAACATATTCTCTTGAGCAACTTATCATTGCTCACAAACTGCAATTTACTATTTCAACTTAATCAACCTAGCATAATCACTTACTATTACATTTATTGTGTTCCTTAGTTCCATGTGGATTTGATCCCTAAGTACTACAACTGAACCTTTTATTTGAGAGAGTAATTCACTTCTTAGGGTTAAACATTTGAGTGATATCAGCAAGGAAAATTTTCTCGGAATCTTAGGGATCTTGTCCCCCCCCATCTCGGAACATGGACCGATTCCGACATAACATAGAAGATGATAATGCCTTAAGGGAGATGGTGGAATGGCCATCTGATTACTTTCAGGGTATCATCCCAAAGAGCACATGGGCCTCAAACGGAAGCCCAAGCATGACAAGAAGAAAATTTGTGATATTCATACATCTACTCGACGCTGCTTAAAGAAAAGTCACAAGGTAGTCCTAAAATGAATTCGATAAAAGCATTTATACCACGCAACCCATAGAATCAACCCACAAAATATCTCATCTATAAAAAATAGGACGACCGCCGTCGATATAAAAGGAAAGATGACAAAATATGAAAATAGAGAATTTGATTCTCAAAATGTGAATTTCGTTTGACATTGAATCGGGAGTCGCTAGTCACAATGGCAATATCCTACGAGAAAGGGAAACCGAAAGGCATGAAAATCTCCAAAAAGGCTTGACAACTAACCATGGCCGAAATGCATTACACCATAGAGAACTCCCTCAACACCATTATTTCTGCTGCCCCTAGGTCAAGCATTTCTTCCTATACGACAGGAAGACAAACCTTGAGAATAACATTCTTTGATAAACCAGATAAATGTACGTGATACCGGACTAAGGTATATACCCAGTGTAGCATTTCTAGAGTTCATTTACAGGCTAAGGCCATGACTTCCTGCTTATCAAATGGGAGATTCCATGCTCATGAAGTATATTGATTGATCTACTACTATGTGGTTAAGGTATACTCCCTCTAGAGCATATGATTCCTACCAGCTGATCAGACCATGTGACCATAACGCCATATACAACTAAGGCCATGTGCCATAAAATACAATTTGTAGACCATTGTAATGCAAAGTCGAGATCATGCATTGAGATCACATGATCATGTATGGGTCCACGTTAAATGACTTAAGAGATCCCAATCTCTCATATCATCATGTGCCTTATATATTTGTTTTATTATTTGATTATGCAATAAAATTGATTTTATTCAGTAACAATAAAATTGAACTTTTTTTTTTTAATAAAATTGAAATTATTAATATATTTGACAATTCATATAAAAAATAGTTAACATTTTATCCAAAAATTAGGAAGAATAAATGATTACCAACTCTAGTATTGAAATTTGAGTTAAAAAAAAACTTCAGTAATGAAAATAAAGTTCAAGACCACGCGTATATAAATTGATTGCTTATGGGTCTATAAAGTAGGGGTGGACAAAAAACTCAAACTGAACCAAACCAAACCAACTCACTCGAACTTAAACCAATCCAAACCAAACTAAAGTATATGTCTAAACTATTTGGTTCAAGATTTTATCAAACGGAATGGTTTAGTTTGGTTTGGTTTGAAATCGAACCAAACTGAAAAACCGAAATTTTTTTAATTAGATTAAGTAAATATAGTAATAATATTAGAGTTAATATATATAACTATTTAATCTAAATAACTAATAATTTTATATATTTTACTTCTAAATGAATAGAATAAACACAACTAAAAATATATGAATCTATACATTAACATCAAAACTGAATACTTTTATGGTTTTATATTAAGTTTGAAGATAATATTATAAAATTATTGGATTACCTCTTTTACATATTTATTGTGATATTTGGTTTTACATTTAAATATGGAGATAACAATGATTTAATGTCAAATATGATTAGTTAATGTTTTTATAAATTATATTTTTGTAGTTGAACTAGAACAAAACTAAAAAATCAACTCGATTGAATTGAAAAATACAAACAAAACCATATTAAACCTAATAAAACACAAACCAAACCAAACCGAATACCAACTAAACCAAACTAAACTAACACCGAACCAAACCGAACATAAACCAAACCAAACTAATATGGTTTGACTTTGGGTAAAGTTTTCTTAGACCCAAACAACCCAAACCAAACCAGCCAAACCAAACCAGCCAAACCAAACCAAACCGAACCCAAACCGAACCCGTAATAAAACCCAAATGTCCACCCTTACTATAAAGTACACTTTATAAAGTGGCCATATGTATGGTTTATTTGAATGGTTAAAAAGAGTGGACTGCATCTCTGGTTGGAGATTAATCTAGGCATTCCTATAACACGGAAACACTCTTCAATTAATTAAAAGAAATAGGTCAAGACAATACGTACCATCCAATACATTTGGAAGTAGTAAACAACTAAACATATTGAAAGTGTGTTTGAAAAGTAGTTTGAAAAGTAGTTTGAATAGTAGAATTGAAAAGTAGTACTGAAAGGTGTATTGGGAAGTGTGTTGTAGGGAAAAAAAATCAATAGGATAACCTAAATCGTTTTATTTGGGTGAGGTGATAAATTCGTGGTTGACTTGCAGGAAACTCCTACCAAGTGATATGCTCACTTTAGGGAGTTATTGGCGCAGACCTTTAGTTTTGGCTCTTAGAAATCTGCGACTGGATAGTCTATAGATTATTCTCTCCGTTTCAATTTAATCTATATTTAAAAAAAAAATTATTTCAAAAAGATATATATATTTTTTTAATGTATTAGTTAATATTAAATTGTAAATTTCAAATAATTTATTTAAATCTTATTGGTTAGAAATTATAGGTAATATAAAATTACAAAATAATGTATTGGTAATTAAAAAATCCTAGATTTTCTTAATTTTTTTTAAAAATTAAAAATAATGTATTGGTAATTAAATAATGATGATGATATAATTAAATGTGCTGCAAACCAATAATGATATATACATATGTTTATATTCTCGAACCTGGGGCAAGCAAAAGTTATAATTTTTCTTTTACAAAAGATATTTGTATTTATTTTTTTGTCAACATTTGTATATTCAATAGTGGTAGAATTTGTATGTGACTTACGAGTTATACAGAATTTTAAACGCAAACGCCAATATATATCCATCATCCCTAAAACGATAATGTTACTTTGTCTTTCAGTGTTTTTAAGTGACGTGAATCGCAAAAACGTCACTGGACTGACTCATAGCAAACGTCATAAATATTAATAGCGAATGCTAAATGATAATTATAAACATCAGCCACAAAAGATAAATGTTGGAAATTTATTGTTACTTTAATTTGAATGTTAATTATTATTTAGTTATTTACCAATGTGATTTTTATTGTTAGAAAAACTTGTTTTAAAATTTTTTTTCACACTTTTTGGATTCATAGCTCTTTAAGCATTTTTATTAATTTTCCAATTTTATACATTATTTTAGTAAATCTCTCTATAGAAAATAAAAACAGTTCTGGTTAGATTTGAATTTATTATGGATTTTCAACTTAAAACCAATTAGTAATTACGTAAAATCTTATGGAATTTCCAATGTGAGATTTTGTTTCATCGCGGGGTAGATCAGTTTCATAATGTGATGTGTTTCCAATGCCAATAAAAGTGATTTGGGTTGTTTCCCTCTTGACGATGAAGCTTATCCCCTAATCTTTTTCCTTGAGATGATGGTTCTTATCAACCAAAAATCTCGAAATTTAATATTTCTATACTCAGTCGAACGACTCAAGTACGATAACTATACATAATCAGAAGATTAAACATAATTTTTATATCTAGACAGAAGATTAATTAATTAATTAAGAGTTTAAAACTTTTAGGATTTGGGTTGAGATATTTTCGATTGTATTTTCAATAAAATTAAAGACTTGATAATTAAATATCAATATTCATATATATGTATATATTTAGATACTTGAGAAGAAAACTCCATTGAAATGCTCTAATATCATGTTAGATTTAGATTTATAATGAACTTTTAAATAAAAACCAATTGATGATTATTAAATTAATCTTAACATTCTATATATCATTTAAAGTTTTATTAAATTCTTGATGTTGGACATATTATATATTATCCTAATACTTGTTTTTTGTGTTGCCATAATGAAGCATTTATATTATCATCGGGATTTTATAAAAATATGAAAATATAAATCTGACACATTTTCAATAAATGAATTGTATCTTATAAAAACTAAGGCCAAGAGACGTTGATAATAATCAGCTAATTTATAAGTTATCAATTTCTTAAACAGTGAAACTTATGAGTAGCACCATCTTCAGCATGTTTTCTCATACGTCGCCGTCTACTACCTCCAGAGACGCTTCGATTATTGCCACTAAACTTTATCAGAACAACTCTTATCCTCAGAATCAGCTTGGCAGCCACCGTCCATGGGCTCTGCATCGTTTCTCTCCGTCTTCACGCTGGAGACTCTCGCTTCTCAATTCAGTTTCTGATCAAACATTCATTGCGGAGAAGCTCAGCCATGATCAGGCTGGCTATGATAGCATACTCCCTGTCAATCCTAAACCCTGCAAGGGTTTCTCCTCTAAGGTTATTGATCTTCTTGAGGCACTCGTCATCAGGCTCATGCACGATGCTTCTCTCCCTCTCCACTACCTCTCCGGCAACTTCGCTCCCCTCCGATATGAAACTCCTCCCGTCAAGGATCTTCCCATTCATGGACATCTTCCCGTGAGCGAGCTCCACCTCTCTCATTTCTTTCCCTGCTATCAAGTTTTCTAATCAGTTTTTAAAATTAACAGGAATGCTTGAATGGCATATTTCTGAGAGTTGGTCCAAATCCCAAGTTTGATCCCCTCGCTGGATATCACTGGCACGTTCTCTTCTTCCATGTTTTCCTAAATTAAAAGATCATGCTATTGGTGGCTTCCAAGATATAATATATGCTTCCCTCTGTTCTTTTCAGGTTTGATGGAGATGGGTACGTTAACATGCATATATTTCTGATAGTTGGTCCAAATCCCAAGCTTATGTTTCATATTCATTTCTCACCCATTTCTACTCTCTCTCTAACGGGAACGCCTTAGAGAGGAGGGCTTGAGGGCCAGCTCCATATCTCATGAGCAGTGGGATCCATTTTTTTTTTTTTAAAGATTGGGAATATAAGTTTTTCTCAAAGATAAGAAATGATAGTTTTTAGAAAAGAGTGTTCGTAGTTTGTCTTTCCACAACCAGTTTTTCTATACATGGAAAAAAAAAATAGAATTACAACTTTAGGGATTAAATAATCCGAATTTTATCTCTTTTTTTTTGTTTCCAGGGGTTCTGTCTAGACAGTTGGTTTGGTTTCTTTTTTTTTTTTATAATTTGAGTATAATGTCCGATAAATCCAATAAAATTTAGGTATAAATATGGATAATTTGAATTCTTTTATATTTTGGATAAAAGTATTCAGATGCTTTCAGATAAATTTGGATAATTAATCGTTTATATATTTTCAGATATTTTTAGAAAGTTCATATGTTTATAGATATTTGCCTATTTTATATTTTAATATATAACAAATATTTCAAGTATATTTGTATAATATTCTATTTGGTTCACATAGAACAAATATCTTGGATATAGAAATATAAGGTTGATAAAAAAAAGATTTAGAAATATAAAAACTGTTCGTATATTTTCGGTTTGAAATTTGTTTTCTTCTATTCGATTTGATTTTCTGGATTTTAATAAAATGTGCAGATCTAACGATGGTCCCCCAAAGTTTATTTTCCGCCCTTTCTCTCACATGAATCTTCCATTCTAATTCCTTTCAAAAGAATCTTCTTTTATTTCTTGTGTAACTTTTGCAGAATGATACATGGGATACGCATCAAAGATGGGAAAGCAACTTATGTTTCTCGATTCGTAAAGACATCACGTCTCAAGCAGGAAGAGTTTTTCGGAGATGCCAAATTGATGAAGGTGAGGGAGAGAATATACTTATAATACATTTTGTTTATTAATTATAGTTTAACATATAGAAATGAATAAATGATTTCATATAATACAAAATATGTTTAAAATATAGAAGAGGATACACATATAAATTAATTAAACTTTTGTTAAAAAAATATAATTAAACTTATTTCGCAAATAAACCAGATTTAAATGTTTAGATACATAAAATAAATATTAATTAATTTAATAATGATATTTAGCCGGCATGTCCCACCTCGTCTAGATCACTCTTGGATGTTTTGAAGGTGTCTACCCCTTCTCCTCTATTGAATCTATCTCTCTTAGTTTGTTAGTAATTCTATTCGAGGGCTAATCTTCGTCCGGCCCGAGGAGTTTGTCCGCCTCTGTTACTTTTTGGGAGGCTTAATAAGTCTCATAGAAACTGTCTATATGAGAGTGTCCCTTGGCCCGTATAAAATATATAATTATATAACTATATTGATATATTAGTTTTCATTGTAAATGCCTTTATTTCAGCTAAGTTACCTAAACTCTTTTATGCGTCTGAATTATTTGAATTCGTAGAAAACACTCTCTAACATAAAATCCAAAAGTTCAACCACTGTCTAGACTAGGCAGCCTAGTGCTTGGGTAATGTTTAGTCACCCATCTAGACCACACTTTAGAATATATATATATATATATATTTATTTATTTATTAATTTTTTATCTACTGCAACTGCATGGGACTCGTGTCGAAAATCATTTGTGCTGTTTGTAAATTTTCAGATTGGCGACCTCAAGGGGTTTTTCGGATTGCTTATGGTCATTATGCAACAATTGAGAATTAAATTGAAAGTATTGGATGATTCTTATGGAAATGGAACTGGTTGGTTACTTCATCCTAGCTTCTTTTTTTTTTTTTTTTTTTTTTTTTTTTTTT